TACATTTAACTGAAGGAGTCCCTTTGGAGGTGTGATCTCCATTTCTCTTCTAATCAAGTCAACATTAGGAACAATTGCCTCAACAAAGGGTATCCAAACAAGGGGTCCAGCAGCACCAGTTTCTGTTGGATCAGACTTTCCACTTTCATCAGGCATAAATACAGATGATTCAAGCATGACATGTAAAAGATCATTTGCTCCGGTGTTGAAAACATCAGCAATAGTTCCTAGAAGTTCACCAGTTTCCTGAAAAGAGGAAGTACAAACATATCCTGAATATCCACACTGTACCATTCATAAAAATATATACTAGTAACAATTCAATAGGGGTCTAAGGTGATCCTAAAAGAGAAGAATGAAAATGATGATCAAAAGCATAGAGCACTAATTCAATTAAAAATGTATATTTAATGGAAACAACTGTGTGAATTAAGGCATCATTTCCACAATAGAAATATAATGTGTTCTGAGTGGCCTGATCTTAAATTTCTTTGGAAAATATTTTTCAGATTTAATATAGGACAAAGTCCTTTCTACTACACCTATTCAGTAGAAATAAATCTCAAAAAAATATATATATATGATAGAGGTATGATTTGTCAAAGTCGTCAGATTGTTGTATAGAAAAAGAACACATGACATAGTGCCACATAAGTACAAACCTTGAGAATCACTCTCATTCCAACAAGATCACGAGTATAAAATTCATCTTCTTCCAACAGTGGTCTATCATCTTCCTTTACAAGTAAAGTTGAACCAACAAGTTGCCTAGCCTGAAATCAATTGTTTTAATTAGGAATGTATGAGTTTGAACTACATTAAAAGCACTCATGTGACTGTACATATTCAATCATATTTGGAGCATAGCTGAAAATTGTTTAACCTTAATTTCAAGCAAAAATGGCAGGATGAAGTTGAAAGGATAATTCTTTCTTGAGTTGTATTTATTCAAATGTCATTGAACAAGAAACATTAGAATACTGGTCATGCTTCATCTGGTGATGAATTTTTGACTGAATAGTAACTTTTATATATACTCTAGAAGAAATTAAACTAAACTGAATAACTGGCACACCAACCTAACCATCATCAGATGTTTGCCTGGTAAACGTAAATGTTTACATTCAGTGCTTTCCTTGAAATATAAGGCAGATGTTATATATTTATATTCAGTATCTTCCTACCTACGAAGTCCTTAACTAGTGAAATGCAAGTCCTGAAAGGTTAAAGCTTCATTTGTAGAACATTTGGAACCTTGTAAAATATATTACAAATTTACAAGCTGAATCCTAGTAAATAATGTTGTGACATGGTTTGGAACTTATTTGGCAACCAGCATCAAGCAAGAAGCTTTCTTTCCATCAAGAGATTTGCCACATGAAGAATTTGCATTTTGTTTGCTTATATTGGATCAGATGAGTTGCTTCTAAGATTTGAAATATAGAAGAAAAGTAACAAGAATGAAGTTAGCTATGAATAAATTAAAAAAACTCTGCGTAGGTCACCTGATCTACTGTATCAACTCCCCTGAACCTAAGTATCCAACCATTCCGCCCAGGGTGTTCCCTTCCTTCAACAAGCTCCACTTCTTGAATTGTTTCAGTACCTGAAACTTGCTGCCTTAACCATCTTTGGCCAGCCTAGAAAAACATCACTTTTCTTAAGGTGAAGCAAAGATTGTTCACCAAGA